ATGAATTGACGACGCCGTCATTTAATGTGACGAGCAATGGAATTCTGATTGTCAACGAAGAAGGCCTAGACCGTGATCCACCTGCGCCAGGACGCTACAAGTTTCAGGTTGTCGCACGGGAGCCCCGAACAAACGCGGCCAGTGCCCCACTGAGCCTAACCGTACATTTACGTGATGTTAACGATAACGCTCCGAAGCTGGCGATGGTTGCTCCCATTTCAATTTCAGCCGGCGATCAGCACGAACAGCGCTTGGTGGCACAAATGATGGCAACGGACATTGATGAGGGTGCTAATGCCGTAGTCGCTTACTCTATATACCATGTCTCCAATAATGGCATGCAAAAATTCCATATTAACGAGCAAACCGGAGAGATTCAAACTCGAGGACGCTTGCTCGCCGGAGAGCAATACAGCATAACGGTCCAGGCAACTGACATTGGTGGGCTCTCCTCCCAGGCAATTGTTGAGGTGACCGTAACACCGGGCCCAAATACAAAACCGCCTCGATTTACTCACGTGCTGTACGAAGTGCAGGTTAGTGAAGGTGCTGAAATTAATTCAACGGTCACAGTCGTACATGCCGATGACCCGGAAAACGATCCAGTTGTCTACTCCATCATATCCGGTAACGATCTTCGGCAATTCTCTGTTGGCCAGCAAAGTGGTGTTATTATGGTTATACGGAAACTAGATCGCGAGAGCCTCACACGTTATCAGCTAATTGTGAAAGCGGAAGACAACGGTGGCCTGTCCAGCAGTGCCACAGTTAACATTAAGGTTACCGATATCAACGATAAAAATCCCGAGTTCGATGAGCTTAGTCAGCCCTATGTGTTCCATGTGGATGAGGGCTTGGAAGATGCTTTTGTGGGCGTTGTGCATGCCACAGATGCGGACGAGGGTGTCAATGCTGAGATAACATACTCAATACCCACGGATATACCATTCTCTATCAATAATAAATCCGGCGAGATACGCACCGCTGATAAGCTAGACTTCGAGCGACTCAATGAATACAAATTTGTGGTGACAGCCAAGGATGGAGCACCCGATGCCCGGCTGGGTACGGCAAGTGTCACAGTTGTTGTTCACGATCTGCCAGATGAGGTGCCAAAGTTTAATGATGCCAGCATCAGTGTACGCATTCCAGAAAACATGCCCAACTTTCTGGTGGCCACAGTACAAGCCCATGATCCGGACTCCACACCAGAAATCACATATGTGCTGCGAAAAGGCGATGCCGAGCTGTTTAAAGTCTCCCCCGATACGGGCGAAATTCGCACAACAAAGGGCTTGGACTACGAAAAGCAGCAACAGCATCAGTTGATCATTGGAACCATTGAAAATGACGGAGATGCACTGGGCGATACTGTGCGCATCGAGGTCGAGGTCGAGGATCGCAATGATGTACGCCCTGTGTTCATATCGGTACCCGGTCCGGTAACTGTCAACGATGACCAGCCCATTGGATCAGTGATAGCGACCATGCCCGCAATTGATGGCGATGGAACGCCACCGGGCAACGTGATTCGGTACGAGCTAGTTGGGCGTGGCAAAGCCCTGAAATATTTTCAAGTTGATCCAGATACAGGGGCAGTGCGTATTCGCGATGAGCTGCGCAAGCAAGAGGATACCGAGTACCAGGTGGACATCCGAGCTTATGATATGGGGGAACCGCAGCTTAGTTCAGTTGCCATGCTGCCAGTTTTTGTCCGCCATCTGTTGATTGATTCCGACGAAGAGAACTTAATGGAAAATCAGATGAACAGCGAGAAAGGCCCAAATACAAACTCAGAAACAGTCGGACTAGCCTTTGGTGATGACAGCTACGTCCTCAGTGTGCCTGAGTCCACAGCCGTGAATAGCACGTTGAAGTTAATTCAAATCATGAACTCCAAAAAACCATCCAAGGGAGCACCAAACTTTAAGTGCGAATTCGTTCGGGGAAATGAGCAGGGCGTCTTTGAGCTGAGCTTCGAAGATTATGGCTGCCTGCTGATACTTGCCAAGCCCTTGGATTTTGAAAGTAAAATATCGTATACTCTGGAGCTACAACTGGTCTCGCAGAGGTATTTTGTGAGTCCACGTAAGGATCGCACCACCGTCAATATCATGGTGCAAGATGAGAACGATAATCCACCAGAATTCATATTTAATCGACTTCACGGCCAGAATGAAACCTATTATGCGGTTGTCACACCCGAAATGGACGTTGACACAACCATATTGCAAGTACGCGCCATCGATCGGGATTCCGGTAAATTTGGTTTACTAAGATACAAGCTCTATGATGAAGAGGATTTCCGCAACGAAAATCTAGTAAGCTACTAGGACTCTGTTTACTAACAAGATTTTAACTCTAGTTTTTTTGCAGCCTTCTTCATACTTTATGTTAGCTGAGGATACGGGTACTTTGCGTACCGCGAGACCTTTCAATGATGCCAAATTCCCCATGGTATTCTACGTGGAGGCCAGCGATAATGATGCCCAGGAGCAGGGCTCGCATCACACAAGAGCCCGCATCGTAGTGAATCAGTTAACAGATGTAAACCGTTTGGCACTGGCTTTCTCGAATGCCGCACCCAATAAGATTCGGAACCATTACACGGCATTGGAAGAGCTGCTTGAGGAGAGGACCAATGGCTTAGTCAGTGGCATTGAACGTATTAGCAATCGGAAGTACGCAACGAGCAACGGCACGGTTGTCGAAAATCCCGAAGCAACCGATGTCTGGTTTTATCTAATCGATCCAAAATCGGAGAAGCTACTAGGCCGTAACGACAGCATCATCCAAGAGACGCTGCTGGAATCATCAGTGAGCTCGGAACTTAACATGGCGGCATCGAACCTAGCGCACGCTAATGCCGATGGCATACATGCACCAATTCAGATAAAAGAGCATGTGCACAAGGTAAGAAAAAATAGTGGGAGAATCTAGGAGGCAATACAATAATAGAAATAACTCATTAAAGATCAAAGCAGCAATTGCCATCGATGATGAAGTATTTTCTTTTACGCTTATATCCATATCGATTATTATCCTAATTCTGGGTACAGTCGGCATAATATACATATGCATATCTTGGTCCAAGTAAGTAATAAGTACTTGAATGCATTAGGAATTCCCTACCAAATGTTTATTTTCTTATGCAGATATAAGAACTTCAAGCAGCGCATTCGGCATTACTCGGCACCAACTCCGACACGCTACGATCCCGTGATCGTCAACTCGCAAGCCGCAAATTCTGTCGATGCTGTGGCCAACTTGAAGGAGTATGAAACGCAAATGCTGGCCATGGCTGTGCCACCGGATGGGGACGAGGATTTACAACTGGATTTTAGCGCAAAGAACCATGCATTTTCTCTAGACAATGTCAGCTATATAACACACAAGCAGAATAGCGGAGGCGGAGCCGGAGGAGAACTGCAGTCGAGTCCCGCGCATTTGGATGCGAGCACGGGAACAATTTCCACCATTCGCCATAATAATCTCAATAACATAGCCAATAATATGAACAACAATAACAACAACAACAACAATTTAACACTAAACAATCGTCAGAATACATTTAATCGCACACTAGAAATGAATTCCCGCAACAATGCCAATCCCCTGGGCATTCCCGGAAATGGCAACCCAGCCACCCTAACCTTGGGGCGTATCAAGCACCATAATAGCAATCAATATCAGAATGATGGCTACAAATATGACACTTCAAGCCGGAATAATTTGGCCAATGCAAATGCCCAGAACAATGGCTACAGTACGATGGGTAGACGCGGCAATACTTTTGGTGGTATCGCCTCATTGAACGGGGGCAACGAGTTCATGACTAACACTCTGGGTCGGAATAACCAGCAAAACAATCGTGTATACGCTGGCGAATTGCCCATAGCCAATCCGTTGTTTCAAAGGTGGGCTTATTGAATGTTCTCCCTTCTAACTCATAGCATACTTATCAATTTTCAAAATTTTAGATCGAACGGCGATGTGAGTCAAAATCATATGAGTTTCACCAATGAAAATGTGATTTTCGGTAAGCGAGACTACGGACAAATGAGCTTCTCATATTTAAACGACTTGGATCGGTCTGAGGTGGAGACAACAACAGAGCTATGAATAGAAAACTAACTGCAAATTAGTGTCAAATTGGGTGTATTTATTAATTTTGTATTTATGTACATAAGTATGTCATTTGCATTAAATGAATTTAAGTAGCTGTATATTCTCAAAAATGTTATAGATAATTAAACTGAATGAGCTGTTGCCATCATATTGAGAATGTGTATATATAATTTAAAATATAAAGAAGAAACTGATAAGATTGAATTATTTTTGTACATAAGCAGCCACAAACTGCAGTCATTAGTTTTACAAAGTTAAAGTATGCAAGCATATCGCATTTAGAGAAAGATTGATTTTGTAAAAAAAATATTACCATTTTTTCATAGGCAAAATGGGACAAAGTAAAATAAGTAATACAATATAAATTGTAAGTTCTTAAACTATTTTTTATCAAAATTTTCAATAAAAATTTGGTCACAGCCGCAGTCCGTCAGGCCTGTTAAACTATGTGCATGTGAGCATTATTATTATTATAAAATAAAGTTTAAATAATTTCAAAAGTCGAGTTTTATGCGAATACATATCCAGGCCTAGGAATAAATATTTTCTTAAAACCCTTTTATACATAGCTTGTAGTTTTTGTGAATGCTTCTTTATTATATTTAACAGCTATCATATTAGTTGGATTTTTCGTTTACCACGTGCACAGCATATGACTTATTAAATGGCTCTTCCACTTAGTCTTGAATAAAGTCGAATTAGCACCTATTAGTCATACATTTGAAAAGACGTTTTTTTCGTGGACTAAAATACATGCACACTTATTTACTATTTAGTATGTACACATGTATATTCATTTTATAAATATGAACTTTTGTATTTTTCCTTTACCGAGGCATGGTCACACAATTATACAAATAATAATCGATAAGTCAATTTTTCGTGCTTCTGCAAACCGGCGAGATGGCAAAGTTAGATGAGCGTATTGGATTTATTGGAGGCGGAAATATGGCATTTTCGATTGGTTCCGGCCTTATTCGCGGTGGAATTGTTAAGGCCAGCCAGGTGATGGTGTCAGGACCGCATATTGAAAATCTGTCCCGCTGGCGTGAACTAGGCGCAACTACAACTGATGAAAACAACGACGTATTGGAGCACACCGATATTATTTTCATCTGCGTAAAGCCTCATATGCTGGAGCCTTGTGCAGCACAGCTTAAATACAAACACGTTCCGTCGGCAAAAGACGCAAACAAGCTGTTCGTCTCAGTTTTAGCAGGCACAACCCTACAAGCGTTAGAGGAGACATTCGCGTTCATAGGAATATCGGGCTTAAAAATGATACGAACAATGCCCAATACTTCTATGCAGGTAGGAGAGGGATGCACTGTTTACACTGGCAATGCGCATGTCGCACACCAGGATCTAGAAAAAGTTCATTTAATGCTAAACTCATTGGGTTTGGCGCAACAAATACCAGAGCCAATGATCGACGCAGTCACTGGTGTGACCGGCTGCGGACCAGCTTTTGTTTATACCATTATTGAGTCTCTTGCCGATGGTGCAGTGAAACAGGGAGTACCACGTCAGATGGCATTACAATTTGCCGCACAGACTTTACTAGGCGCCGCCAAGACGGTGCTTTTGACCGGAAAGCATCCAGCTGTCCTGCGCGATGAGGTATGTTCACCTGGTGGCTCAACTATCGTCGGCGTACATGAGCTGGAAAAGGGAAACCTCAGGTAGAGAACACACAAATCAAAATCCGGGAAAAACCAATTAGATTGCATTTTCTTTTGCAGAGCTACGATTATTAATGCCGTGGAGAAGTCTTCATTACGCTCAGCTGAGCTGGGCAAAAAGTAAAGTGTCCCAAACCATTGAGTGTGTTCCTCTACAGGTAAACCTCCCTAGGCATATACGACAAAAAGTTCCATTTAAATATACTAAAGTCGGTGATATAATCAACTCATGTACATATATTTATTCACGATCCTTTTTGCTTACATACTCGACACATTTGGATGGATCGGTTGGAAAGTATTCCTGGCATTTGGTCATCAACCGCTTCAGTCCCTGAATATACTTTCGCTGTGTTTCGTCGTTCATAACATGAGCGACGTTTTTTGAGAAAATCTTTTCGCGTCCTGTTCTGGCATGTATGCCCACCATGGTAACTCCAATTGGCCATGGAGCATTGCCTATAGCCATTTCCAAATAGGCATCACTTGCTGATATGTAATTGCGATTCAGCAAATGCTTACATATGTCCCGTAAGCTGTCAAGAATGTCTTCGGGCAAGGTGTGATGCTTCAGTTTACGAAATAATGGCTTCACATACTCCTTCGTCTGTGTGTAAATGACTCGAGTCATTTTCACTTTCGTCGACATTTTCTCATGTTTGGTGTAGCTGGCGATCTGTGCGTTCCACAACTTTAGAAGAAATGTTAAAAGGGTTATGATGACGTCCATATCATAGTCTTTGTTTCGGCCCATTTTTTGAGCCATCGCCTGTATACTCTCCCAGGAAATGGATTCGTCTAGCTCCGTGAAGTCCGATTTCTTATCCTCCTTGGCTGTGGGTGTGTTGGCGAACATTTCCTGCAGATATGCTGCATCCACCTGCTCCATTGCTTCCTGGAAATCGTTGCGGAAGCCGCGGTTGGCTTCGGGCTGTGAAATCTCGCAAATTCGTAATCTATCAAATGCTTCCGGCTCAGTCTCGCCGAATAATAGCACAGGTTCGCCGCGCTCTCGTAGTCGACGTATAACTTCAAGGCGAGGTAAAATATTCTGTCCATCAGCTACAAAACTGTATGCGCCCTCAGCCCTAGGCTCCACAACTTGCTCTTGTTTCTTGTAGCCCACTTTTTGTAGTACTTCCTCGGTGTCCTTAGCACTGAGGTCGCCGCGGCGAAAGAACTTCTTTTTATCATCCACCAATTGCTTTTCCTCAAGTAACTTGCGTTTGCGAGCGATTTCGGCTTTTAATATCTCCATTGCTACTTATTTACAACGAACAAACTGTAAATAAAATTACAACTAAAGGGTATGACCATCTCTCAAATAAATTGGTAATTGAAATGAATTTAAGTATCGGTGTGACCGTTTGTTGGATGAAAATATTTATAAAATACTAAAACCAACAATGAAGCCCTGGAAACCATATGTTATCAAAATTTTGTCATTGTTCAGAAAGATAGTGGATTGTAAAATCAGGTAGACATAGTGTAACGCGGTTATACTGCTTTTGTAAACAATCAATTAGTAAAGTATATAAAATGCCTAAGAAGATGGGAATGAACTCAAAAGCAGTGGAGGCTCGTGACCGCAAGGATGCCAACAAGAAGGCCATCCAAGAACGCAAAGCAAAGGAAGCCGAAGACCGTTTGTGGCACGACGATGACAAGAATCTTGCCAAAAAACAACAGCGTCGTGAAGAAGAAGAAAAAAAACGGGCTGAAGCTGCCCGTCGTAAGGCGGAATCAAAAGCGTTATTGGATCAGGAACTAAGCTCAATAAATACCCAACGCAAGCAGCCGCTGGCTAAAATTAATCGTCAACAAATAATAGAAGAGCTGGAAAAGAAACAACGTGTTATGGATGCAATCAATGAAGCCAACAAGCCCTTGGCCCCTCGTGTTGTACTACAGCATAACACCATTGAGGAGAATCTGAACAGATCTCTAGCTGATGCCAATGTTGCCACAAATGTTGACCAGGCCCTGGCAGTGCTTAGGTAAGTGCAACAAGTTAATTCAATTCTTTTTGTTTTGTTTAACAAATGGCAAATACAATTATCTATTTTTAGTGTCAAAGATAATGATGACGACAAGCATCCAGAAAAACGTATGAGAGCGGCCTATAAAACATTCGAAGCCAATAATCTTCAACGCATTAAAGCTGAAAATCCTTCATTGCGTATGTCTCAGTGGAAGCAACTTTTGATGAAGGAATGGAATAAGTCTCCGGAAAATCCGTTTAACCAGGCTTGTTGAAAGACCGCAGCCTATAATTTAGTTTGTGAATTTATCGTACTATTTTGTTCAATTTTTGACTGCCTAGCAGAAGAGCCCATCAATTGAAAAAAAAAAGAAAACTACAAAATGTAAAATAATTATTTAGTTTATGCTTAAAATTTAATTTTAGAATGCAAAAATAAATTTGCCATATTTATTATCCAGATATTACTATTGTCATATCGTTTATACGAGCACATACACCCTATTTCATTTGCAGAAATTTCAAGCCCTCAATGATGATGCCATTTACTGCCAAATTACTGACATTACGGTTGTGCAACGAACGAGCAATGGTACAAACCTGATGGCACCTAAATATGTGTGTACCAACTACTTTTATGTGTAATAATGGCAAATATAATTAACGATCGCTTTTCTTTGCTTATTAAATTGTTAATGTTTTGTTTGCTCGACTTTTTTAACTCAGGTCTAGTTCCGGTTACGTTGGTTCGAGTAGCTATGAATAAGATATGAATGTGCTTATAACACAACCATTAAATTTCCGCTTTCACTAAAATTAAACATAAACATACACAAAGGATATGCATATTCGGTTCATCATGATCTTTGAGGATGAAACAAACAGAAATCAAATATACAAGATACATAAATGTTAAGGAAATATAAAAAGATGTAGTTATATTTGTTTTGGCTTAAAGAATTAATCAAATTTTTATTAGACATTAATTTTGAAGTTTTTATTTACATTTTTTAATGAGAAGCTTAAAAACGTTTTACTAACCGCTGCTCGGTCAAATGTTTCACAACATAAATCCACATGTTAAGTTAACAGCAACAGCTTTAACAGCCTCTGTTAAGCGGGCAGCTGGTGTACAGCTCATTGAGCCATTCATTGGCAGTGCTTTCTTTTTTAATAAAATTTCTTTAGACGCATCGGTGCTTCATTCTTCATTCAGTGCGAGACCGTTAACAGTAACAGACGCGTCTTCCAACCATAGAGTCATTAAATACGTGTAAGAGAAATGTAAAACTTGAAACCAATACAATATTAAAATTTGTTCGACGTGTGAGTGTGTCGAGCTCGAGTTCAACTAAAACTAAAAACAGAAAAGAAAATTGTCAGGCGGCAGAGACGAAAGATAGAAAGACGTGGTTGGAAAATAAATTGAATTTTGTATGCCGTCGACATCGGAAATCGCAAACGGTAATTGTGCCCTCTCGCTCTGCAGTGGATTTTAGCGTTCGGTCATCGCAGGTGTACCGCAAGAGGATTTTCTACGAAATAAATTTAACGAAAGGATTGCCAATAGCTTGTAAGCATAAAGTGGGAACTACATACATCGCTTAGTGAAATCACTATGACCAAAAAGATTGGGCACATATGAAAATGGTTTGAACAGTTTCATCTAATTAGTATTCCGCATACCACGCCTAAAACGCATTTTGTGAAAGAATGCCAAAATTAAACGCAAATTACTCAAATTACACTCAAATTTTACTGTGCGGCGTATTGTCCAAGTTTTTGTCGGCAGTCTTTCGTTTCATTCCGTGCCCATTAAATTGTCTGCCTTTGTTGTTCTTCATAGTTAAAGTGGGACTTATTAGTCTAGAGCTCTTATATGTTGTTGACATTGTTTTTGTACCATTTCTTTGGCCTTAATACATGTTGCACTACTTGGTGCTATATTTTTTGTTTGTTTGTTTTTTTGTCATCTTTTCTAGTCGCATTGACCTTAAATGTGTAACGATTTCTTCAACTTTTACGTATGTTTAATTAACGCGTATGCAGTTTAATTTGTATATATTTGTACTTTATGCGAAATGTCTTCAATTCATGTATAAGTCTTAAGCAAAATCCCAGAAGATTGCGTGATTTGTGTTTCTTTGGTTATACAACACAAAATTATGGAGATGCAGAGGTATGCACGCGAAAGACGTTGCATATTACCGCGTTATACACATTCTTAAAGTAAACAAACTAATTTGTTTTTAAAATTAGATTATTAGATCGCATTGCCTCAAGCCGTAACTAGCTGCAATTGAAGCAAAGCGAAACGCATCTGTATCAATTCAGTCGGCCAAGTTATGTAGGTTTTACCCAGTTATGTGCCATAAAGTCAAGTGACCATAAACAAGCTACGTAAGTACCAACAAGTCCAACCAGCGCTGAGCCAAATTTCTTAATAGAAATCTGAGCAACTGAACACATATAGTTCTGGATGTTTTTTTTTTGTTTTTGGCTAGCTCCGAGGTCTTTTAATTAAATTTAACCTGAGTTGTGTAAATGCATAATGGGCATATGGAAACTGGCGGGTGGGCACATTTCGAACTCTTATTGGGCTTATTTTATATAGTGAGTTTGGCATTCTGATTGGTATTTCGCTTAAATAGTTTTGTCCACTCTCATAGCTCTTTCCCTTGATCTTGTAGTTTGCATTGTGGTAGCTTTGATTGGCCAACTAATTACGGCTAGTTTATAGTTTCTTTGTGACTAACCCTTTATGAGCAGCAGCACGAACTTCACTTCGTAAACCAACGACAGCGACAATTTCACATATCTTTTGAATGTGGTATTTGAATAAAAACTTAACTTATAAACTTATTTCTTATAGCCAGCTTGTCAATATTTACACCCATTTGATTTATGGCATAATGCATTTCTGAATTTTCATTTTAAGGCTCCTTTTAATAACATTTAAGTTTTCGATGAATCTCAGATTTTTCTTGCTATTAATAGACATTTGAAATGATTCACAGCAGTTTCCCAAGCCAAATTTAAAAATTTCAATCAACGAGCCGAAACCTGCTTTTAAACAACCACAACGACAAATCATAAAAAAATCATATACATACATCCATGTATTTGTATGAGTGTGTGTTTGTGTGTGTATTTCTGCAAGTGTACGTCTTTATGTAAATTTGAATGACCGAGGCCGATTACGCACCTTAAAAAGTGAAAATTTTGGCATTCTTTTTTTTTTTTTTGTATTTTGCTTTCTGTTTTTATGAGATTTGATGGCAAAATAATAAATGCTTTGAAGAAACTACCGATTTTGAAGACAAACTTTTCAAATAAGTTAGAAAAAATGTGGGTTTAAAGTGCGCACAGTTAGATCCTTTGTTTTCTGAATCAATCAAGTTAACATAATTTGATTATGTAGTACAAAAATGTTAGCAATACTTTAAAAAAAAATGTATTAGCAATAGTTATTGCCAGTTCCAACTGGAATTGAGATGTTTGCTACTCAAACATCATATAAATACTCAGAGACTCGGCCAGGCCCAGGTCTGTACAACTGTGCACATTCCATTCTCGAAGGTAAAGAAGAAGAAGTAACAGCGCAGTGGAGGCAGGCATTGGCCATCTCCAGTACTTGGTCTTAACGGGGTCAGCTTTTTAATGCTTAGACGGGGTTTGTTTTGGCAGGGGTTTAGTTGTCTGGCGTTAATTCAAAAAAATAAAAAGTATGTGTTGCCGATAAGAGAGCAGTGTGCAGCTATGAAGAACTAAATAAATTTCACTGATTTTCATGAAATCTTTACGGGTCTTACCACTTCGGCTTTGCCACTTAGTTTTGGCTACTCTGCTATATAAAAATTATTTGGTTTTTTTCTTTCTTTCTTTGTATTTGTGGTTAAAGTTGAGCATAAAGTCGTCTGCGTGTGCGCACCGCGTCAGAAGTTGAGCGAGAAATTTTGACTGTCAAAAGTGAAAGTTGCAGCTGCAGCCAATGCCGTTGAAAGAAATGTAGAAAAGCGGTAGCTGGGGCCCCGCCTGATGAATCAACTCACAAGCGGCAGTTTAAAGTTGAGGCTTGCGAAGCGCCAAGGTTTCTTTAAGCTGTGATTTTTTGTTTCTCATATTATATTTGTTGCTTAGCAATCGCTTTAGTCTCAACATTTTCGTAATTATGTTTTGTGTTTTACATTTTGCTGCTGGAATATTATGTGATTATCCTCATTAACAAATTGGGTTTCTTTTTCTCTAAATATCAACAAATAAATTCCCAGGCTGTGTACTCAGTTGAAATGCAATTCAGATGCATCTTCGGTCAATAATTATTATACAAATTTAACATATTTTCGGCAATACGTGAAAAATGGGTCAAATATAAACAGTTCATCGAACTTTAAGCCAGTAGAGAGCAAGCAATGCCAAGGCGAGCCATAACTCTTTTCAATATTTAAATTTAATTAAATTAGCACTTTCTACACGTTTCCCCTGCAACGGCCGGCCGTATAAATTGTCGGTGCTTCATATTGAATAATAATTTTAAGCAATTAGCACAGTGACCCAAATGCATACATTAAAACATAAATAATTTAATATATAATGCGGCGACAGCTAATCTCAAATTAGTAAAAATGTACATTTTGGCTCTCAGTGACATTACATACATATCATCATATCCATACATCAAATATGCAGTTAAAGAATGCGATTAACACACAAGCACTCAAGTTTGTGTCTTCAGTTTTTCGTTTTGCACCCTATAACTGACAATATGTACTGGTCTTGAGGAATGCATTATTGACAGGTTTTTCGTGTTTTTTAACATTTTTTTTTTTTTAACAAAACCAAACGAATTGGCTTCATTTCTTGCTCCGTTGATATCTTTATATCCTGTGTACCCAAAAATGATTAAAAGGGTATCAACAAATATTTGTGCACTTAAATGTTTAGAGAGCATGATGTATTTCTTTTTCTGTGTGAACATAGATCTATGTGCGCTGTGTGCTGCTTGGGACAGTTAGCTAAGCATTTAATACTAGAATAGACAAGTAATAGGTAATACTTATCACAATTCCCGTTGGCTATGAAAAACTTACTATATAGGATTGCAAATTTGAAATCCCAATTGGCTATTGCCCAAGAAAAATCTCTGGTCAGCATTAAGCACGAACTTAAATACTTTTGTATTTAGTTTCCAGTTGAATAAGGCAGATGACTAATTTAGATCTGATCATAGGGTATTTTCCTGCCGCATATTTACAACTATATCATTCTTTCCTGTTCTTACCGAGCATGGCGATAGAAGAAACTGTCAGGTTGTCGTCGACGGCATTATCGATGGTGCGTATCGCATATTGTAAAGTAAACAAGTTTCCTAAAATATGACCCATTTACCCAGTTAACCAGTGTTATGATCTGCGATATT